TCCTTTTAAAAAAAAAAAAACAAAAAAAAAAACAAAAAAAAAACCAAAAAAAAAAAAAAAAAAAAAAAAAAAAAAAAAAAACACTCAAACTGAAATCCTGACTGCTGCCACATTTAATTTATGTGGAAGGTCAGCAATAATGAAGAAGCCACTTAAGTAGAACCTGTCTTATATTAAGTAGGTTGAAAGATCTCAAAAACCAACATGTGCCCAGATCTAAAGTAACTCAAGACCAGATAAGAAACAAAGTCATTGAGATCTCTCAGTCTGGAAAGGCTTACAAATCCACTTTTAAGATGGAAATACTAGGAGAACACCCCCTGACGCAAGCAGCCAGTTCAGTAGGTTATCATGGCTGCCGCAAAAAAAGGTAGCAGCAGCACCTATTTAATACACTTCTAACAGTAAGACTACAAATCCTATCAAACCAGAGGTAGATGATTCCATACAATTATTTGAAGACATATTCATTTAGTGTTCAAACGCACAATTCTGGATCAAAGGGGTTCAATAAAGTTCTGAAATAAAATTAAAAAAAATCTAAAGAAATAAATTACACCCTTCTGAAAAAAAAAAATAATTTCCTTTGTCCAAGAAGTGAATATTGAAATGAATGAATATTCAAACACAACTTCCTTACGTTCTTAATAAACATAGTACTTTCTAATACAAATCAACTCTACGTTCATTTTCCACACAGAATTGATGGTCTGCGCCAGAAATTGGAGACTCAGGGCCTGAATGATGTGGTTTACATGGTCATCAACCACCAGGGGGAGCAAGCGCAGCGGCTCCACCCCATGCTGGCTGAGAGGCTGTCAGATAAGATCTCACTGTACAAACAGGGTGAACAACAACCTGATGTTTGGCAGGCCCTGAATGGAAAGAAAGATGACTTCATCATCTATGACAGGTTTGTTATGTGCTTCAAATGTATTTTACAGAGTGGAGGAGTTTGGAGTTAAACACTATCCCTTGTCTCACAATACTTTTTTTTTTTTTTTTAATCTCTGTAACCTTAGGTGCGGTCGTCTTACCCACCATATTTCCCTTCCTTATTCTGTTATTGGACATGGCCATATTGAGAGTGCGATCAAAGAAGCCTACTGTAATCGCATGTGTGGCGCCTGCTCACACGAGGTAAAAGAGGTGAAATGACTTCACAGGAACATGTTGTGCGTACTGGAAATTAAAAATAAAACCCTTTTTGCATTCTCTGATTTTTTTTCGCAGACTGCTGAGACTTCAGAGGGATGCAGAGCAACACCAAATGCACAGCCTGAAGCAGATGGACCCGCAGCTGTAGGAGACAACACAGAACATGACCACAGTCGCCATCATGGCCATGGTCATCATGGTCATGGTCATCATGGTCATGGCCATCATGGTCATGGCCATCACGGTCATGGCCATCATGGTCAGCATGGTCATCACCACCATAGGCACCACGGTGATCATCATGGTCATCAGGGTGACTTGGAGCAAAGTCAGCAGGGAGCTGGGCAGGATCATGGTCAGCATGTCTTTGACTCGCCACAGCTACAGCAAGCAGTGGACACAGAGCAGTTATTACAGGAGGCCGTAGCCGCCCCTGTTAGACCATGAGTGGCAGGAAAGGGAAGGTGAAAGTCAAAGTTCACCTGACAGGGAACGGCAGGCTCAGAAAACGAAACAGTTCCCAAAGCCAGCTGATGCTGACACTGACGCAGGGTGTTTGGCGAGGCGGGAAGCGAACAGTCGCTCGGGCTCTGACACTGTGAAGAGGGGCTGCCGGCCTCCTGACAGTGACAGGGCCTCACGAGCGAGGCAGCCGCCGATGTCAGGGAGACCTGACAGTGACGCATGCCTCCTGCTGAATGACAGCAGCCTCAGCCAGACCAGTGAGCCTGACCCTCCGGCGTTGGGAGCTGAGCATGAGAGCAGCTGTAAGCTGGAACTGATGTCAGCTATCAATGCCAGGGCCAAGTGCTCTTATTGCCAACAAGTATTTCCCTGGGAGAGGGGGAAGGTCAATCCTTGATATAAATGCTGGAAAAGATCAGAACAAGAAATGCGTCCAGCTGTAATATTCAAACTTTTGGCATTGACATTCGATCAGAGTATGATGTTCCAACTAACTTGCCTTGTTTTACCATGGATTGCCTCCCCCTCTCTCTCAGGTGGACAGTGGGATATTATGTCCATAAACTGACTCCTTCATGATGTTCTCGCCTTCCGTTATGAAACCAGATGCATAAACTATGCTCTAGTGGCGTCTGTCTGATGTTTGGCAGGTGAGAGAGAAGGAGGTAGTTTAAGAACATTATAAACCCTTTTTACATTTCAGAGAAGTAAAACATCTGCAAGTAGAAAAAAAGCACAAAATCAGAATTTAGAGATTACAAGAAAACAGAACAACGTTGTGGAGTTGTTTTAGCAGAAAGCACAAGTTAATTTCTGGAAAAACAAATGCTACAAAGCACTCTTATTGTTTAGATTTGTTGTTATTGCTCATTCCTGAAAAGATAACAGTTACTGTCATGAATTTCTTCTTGTTTTGTTCTCACTAATAACATCCATGAGCTTTAACATATTTTAAATGTTTCAGACTAACATTTATTCAAGAAGTCTTTAAAAAAAAGAAACTATATTGTTTGGATGGGGAGAAAGGGATAACAAGAGTGAGTTGATGTGATGAGCTCTGTGCATAATGATGGTTTCTGTGGGAAGATAACAGTCACCAGGAAATCCTGATGCTAGCGCAGAGAGTTGCATTGTGTTGGGGTTTCTGGACATGAGATTATGGAAAGTTTAATAAAGATGGTCAATTTACTATTGTAATTTGTGTTTATGTTATTGATAAAGAATATTGTGAAGAGCCTGTTCTTGACAATATTCAAAAATATGTAAAAAAAAAAAAAAAAAAAAAAGCATTGCATTTATTTAGGGGCATCAAGGAAAAAGGGGCACCGATTACGAATGCATGCCACACTTTTCAGATTCTAATTTGTAAAAAAAAAAAAAAAAAATGATCTCATAAAAATCATTTGAAAAACATAAAATATGAAATTGCATGGCTTTGATGTGGCAAATACATAGAAGTTCAAGGGGTGTGAATAATTCAATAAAGCACTGAACGCATTTTTTTTAAAGTTTGAGATTTTGTCCGTAGTGTGAGCTGTTCTGCTCTGCAATAACAACAGATTGACTGCAGCACTGTAATCTCCACCATTCTACCTCCTTTTCTATTCACTGATGTAATGATTTTTTGTTTTATCAGGAATATATCTGAGATGTGTGTGTGTGTGTGTGTGTGTGTGTGTGTGTGTGTGTGTGTGTGTGTGTGCGTGTGTGTGCGTGTGTGTGCGTGTGTGTGTGTAAAAGAAATGATGCCATTCCCCAAGTGTATCAGCAGATGGCGTTGAGCATCTGCTCAGCATAAAACCAACTTGTTCGTTCTGTTTACTGACCTGATCTTGCCACAGTTATTATGAGCCACACACACAATTACTGTTTAAACAGAGCCTCATTGTTTCAGGTCATTACCCAAAGTGACTCATTTCATTTCATTTCAAGGGTCACTTCTGTCTTGCGCAAACATGTCACGTCGAAATTCATGTTGGAAAAACTAAGAATATTCACGGTCGTTGCTCGTAGGGGTGTCGGATGCAACACCTTATCATTTCAGAAAACTGCTGCAGGTTTATGGAAACAAGTCTGTATCAAATATGACCAGTTGCAGCTTTACTAGTTTGTTTTTGATCAACATAGCGGCTGAATATTAATAAAACCTCTTCATGAATTTGAGAACTCAGTCAGAAAACCTTCTTCCTGGAAAAGCAATTAAAATATGTTGTCAGTATACATATATATATATATATATATTTTTTTTTAATATGGAGTAAAAACCATCATGATGCCACATAGGATGAGCATCTTAAGCAAATTTGTTCCATGCAATCAGTAAAGCATTGATATCTGTCTATGAGTGCAATACCCTGTGTTCAGTGTTATGTAGCAGGACTGCCTGTTGGGCTGTATGTCTAAAAAGGTCAACAAGCAACCGGAGGTAATAAATGAGGCAGAGGTGGACAGCTTGTGTGGGCGTAATTGGACTGAAGATCCAGTACAGAGGAACGGTGACTTATGGGCAATTACCTGCAATGTCCTGAGACAAAGAGCTGTGAGTGGCCACCTCTCTGATTCAATCAACCCCACACAGAGAAGCGCAGTACACAGCTTCTGTCTTAATTGTCCAATATGCTTTCCCCTCGGTGCACAACTGCTTCTGCAACCGGCTTTTCCTCCCTTAGCTACCCCATCAGAAGCAGCAGACAGAGAACCACATACTTGTGAGCTAATTCACATAGAAGGTCCTCTTTGTGTGGCTTATGAACGAGCAAACATCCACCCTTCAGTCATCGTACGCATGAATGCGATACATTCTTCGGGCACAATCTACATCAACTGGACTGGATTTGAACTCCAAAAGAGTATATTTATTTGCATGAAGAAGCCTTTTCTGGACCAAAAATAATGATATATATATATATATATATATATATATATATATATATATATATATATATATATATATATATATATATATATATATATATATATATATATATATTATTATTTGCTTTTTTTACTTGGAGTATTACTTAGGAAAGTGCAATTTACAACAATTTGCTATTTGATTGACTGAGATTTAAAAGTGTCTTAAATAGCCCTTGTACCTTGGCAGTGTTTCAGCCTGCGTCATGACTGAGCTGTTTGACACCGGGACTCGTCATTCATGGAAGTAAAAAAAAAAAAAGAGAGACAAGTTTAAAAATGACATTCAGTTATATTCAGTGAAGGCTTGTTATTATGAAGCAGAATTTTTTTGTATATATTTGTCTGTATTTCTTACATTATTTGCACTGATTTTGGAGTTGGTTTTAATCTCCCTTTACATGTGTGCAGTGACAACAATAAATTAAATTAAAATTCAAGATTACGTGAAATTTGATCTTGCATTATGGAGATAAATTAACTTCCCTTTTGGCAGCAAAGGATTGGTGAGGACTACAATCTAGAATGGACCGTTCTAAAAAAAAATCCGCAAATTGCTTTGGATCCAGTTTATGCAGCACCCACTGAAAATTTAATCAATATATGTTTGGAGGAAGTTTTTTTCTCCACTGTTAGAGATTGGTGCAAAGTCAACAACAAAACTTTTAATCAACATCGCCTTCAAATATATAAATTACTTTTTTAAGAGGCCGAGTTTAAATTTGTAGAGGGCCCAAGTGAGTTCACAAAATGTCAGCTTTGATTCAAAATGGCAAACTTAGGCTACTCTAAGATGTTTCTGTATGTTGTTCAAGCTTTTGACCACTTTGAATCAGCAGTAACCTTTAGAATATACAATGAAGACTTTAAGTCAACCACAAACATTTATATATCTTTCAAAAAGAACATGTGCAAAGATCACACAGTTGCTGCTTTGATCCAAAGTGGTTGATTCACTGTTAAATTTACAATTACTATCTATATGCGTGCCAATTTTTAAATTAGCACATAAAACTGGTCGGTGGAGTGGAAGTTTAAGGGACACTGTGGAGCCATTTCAATGTACTACTGCCCCACAGACCTTTATTTATAGAAATATTAAAAGTCCCCAACTGCTGTGTGAAGTGTAGAGTGTTTTGGGGACTAGTGTAAAAGGCAATTTACCTAGAACAATAAGTAGAAGAGTCAATAAATAAATAAGAAAAAAACAATCGCACTTTCAATGGCAGTAGCTCCCACATAATGAAATTAGAATTCAAAGTTTGTTTATTTAAGATAACCCCCCCCGATCCATCTTTAAAGGTTACAAAAAAAACGGACAAGATGCACAGAAGATATATTTATTTTATTGAGAACTTATTGATCACACATACAACACCAAAAAGAGAACAAAACAGACAAATCCTCAAGGATCAATACATCTCTTGGCCCTAGGGAAAGCAGCAGTTTTTACACAAGAACATTGGCTCTCGGATGCAAAACAAAGATGAAAAAGAAAAAAAAAAAAAAACCCGGATGTAAAAAAAAAAAAAAGCAACAAAACGGAGTCATAACAATTAATGAAGCCAGTATTGACCGGTTTATCAACTTAGACTACATTATTTTTTTAATTTGTTTGTTTCCAGTTTGCTGGGGGAGGTGAATGACACATGGCAGAGGGCATACAGGAAGTAAGACAGACTGGAGCCATGGAACATTGTAAAAACTAATAACACAGGATTTACTCAAATCAGTACTTGACTTGAAGTAAATCCTCAAGTCAAGTGGCGAATTAAGCACTTTCCTTAACAAACTGAACGGTACAGGGTATGATGCTGATAGCTTCAAAAACATTAACCGACCACCAAAGATTCCAGCAAAATTACTTCCAGGCTCGAAAGAGTGACAAGAGTCAGCCTTCAACGCAAAGCTGCAGGCCAACACGCATCATTGCAAAAATAATTCACCCCTGTCATAAACTTCTTTGTGGTCATGAAAAACTGAAATCACACAGCGACACAAACAAGAACATGAAGTTAAATCGATGAATATATCACACAACATATACTTAAGATGACTTTATAAATGTTCTATCTGGTTTAATCGCCTATAAACTCTATATGAAACATTAAATACTCCATTACAGTACAACAATCTAGCAATCTGTTAGTGTGAAATACGTTTTTTTATATAAACATAAACTCTGTATAACAAAATCAAAGCTTATTCATATTGAAGATTCCTCAAAGTTTGATTTTTGTGCTGACCAGAAAACGTAATGCTATTCTGTAGTAACATAGAAATCACACACTTGATTTAGCAAAAGATACAAAATCTGAATACCATTTCTAAATATCACATATATGCTCTATGTGTACAAAGTGCTTCCTCTAAAGTGTCCTTGACATTTATAACCTTCAAATAACAAACTACCAATTCTGCCACTGTGAAATGAGCGATATGGCAAAAAAAAAAAAAGAAAAATATATACTTAAGGTAGTAAACATCTGCACAGTTGGCTTGAAGAATAAAAAGCACCTCCTAATTTCTTCATCTCGCCACCACTATTACAAACACTGCTTAAAACGTTTCCTCAGTTTTATGATTGCATTGTGTATTCCAGTTACACATTCACAGCTTTACCTAAAAAAAAAAATAAGTCCTCCAT